TGTGTGTGTGTGTGTGTGTGTGTGTGTGTGTGTGTGTGTGTGTGTGTGTGTGTGTGTGTGTCTCTTAGGAGAAATGCCAAGAAAATTTCACATCTCAGGCAGCCAAGCTACATATTTTCTCTTCCTGCTGCAGAGGATGACTCATGGTGTAATCAAGTTGGATTGATACAAAACAAAGACCTGCAAAATGGTTCTCAGTTATCTATAGATCATTTAAATAAATCTTTGCTACGGCATTTCGTATAAAATGCATCAATTTTAAGTGATAAAAAATGCAAAATTATATCTAAGCAAAACAACAACAGGCAAACATTAACCCAAGTTAACAAATGTTTACATTTTATCTAAAAAGATCTATTCAAATTTGTTTTAACAGAATATACTAATAAACAATAGTTCCAATGTTGCAACAACTTTGGGTAATCTGTCTGTAAGATTTTGTATTCTCTCTTTAAGACCCGCCTCCTGGAAGTCACAGTCTGTTGTGATTGGTTCATCGAACTGATAAACAAAAACCTAGCCTAACGTCTTCTGCACATGCAGGACCATTAGTTCATTCCAATGCTTGCACACTTTTTTGAAGCCACCTGCATTCCTGCATCTGGTTTACAGGACTACAGCTTCAAAAAATATAAATATATATTATCCTAAAAAGCTTTGCCAACATTTTTTCTCCATGTTTCCACGACCATACTACATTCCAGTTGCACTTAAAGAGGAAAAAAATCGAATTTGTAGCCAGGTCTGTTGTTTTCGTGACTTATTTTACTAAAACAATAGCAGAAGAAAAGTTTATTGGCTCAAATGATTTCTTATTAAAAGATTCAACAGGCTGATATCTGAATCCTTTTTATCATACCTGGTTGCTTGTTTAAATCTTGCACACAATTTGACATGTAGTGATTCATTAAAGAATTGGATTGTCTGGCTTATAGATAATCCCTGTCTACATCATTTCAGGTGTTGTGTACTTGGAAGATTACATAAATGTCTAACATCACAGGTGCATAAATGTAGCGGTGTTTTGGATGAAACGTAGGTCACAGAATAAAAGGTGTTATCAAAACCTTACATTTTCTTAAATAGAATAAAAACACTAAGATACCGCCAATTTCAATTTGCACTAACCATTACAATGCCCCTAAGAATATATTAAATAAAAAGTCATTCCTATGTTTTAGTGCCATCTTTGCTGTCCAATAACACCGAATCAATCTGAGAGGCTCTGATGCAACATGAACAGGAATGAACAGAGCTGATTTGACTGATGAGAGACCATGCAAGATGTCTGCAGAGGAGTGCAGATTAAAAGTAATAATAAAATAAAATAAAAATCACATTTGAAAACAATGACACTAAAACCCTGAGTGTCAAATGGCACAAAAGACAATAAAACGGGTTGGTGCTCCAATAGTTTTACCAAGTAATGAACTTGACCTCTAAAATCCACAACTTTCTTTATTACACCATCTGTTTTCAGTGCACTCAAACTACACACCATCCAGCTGTGTGTGTGTGTGTGTGTGTGTGTGTGTGTGTGTGNTGTGTGTGTGTGTGTGTGTGTGTGTGTGTGTGTGTGTGTGTGTGTGTGTTGTCTCGAAATAACTCCATGTTGGCTGAACTTGAACTCTCCATCTAAGAAAAGTCTTGACATGTTAAAGAGAAGATGTCTGAACCCAGTGAACTGGCTGAGCTTCTCACCAGACGTGGCACAAACTCGCTTCTGACCGTAGACACGATAAGGGAGATAAATAATCAAAATAAAATAAATACAACAAGGAAAGGGAAACTACTACTTAACGTGGCAGGACTGAGAAAGTCAACTGTGTCTCCCGCAGCACAAACTAAGTTGTCAAGCTTTGAGATGAACTTTTAAGACGAACCACGTTAAAAAGAATCGAGGTTTTAATTCTGGCTGCTTAAAAGCTAAACAAGTCTGTTTTTAAAGCTAGGTCTTAAGATGTTTTCTGCTACAAGAACAACAACGGAATGATTCGGCACACATCAACATATGAACATACGTATTTTTCAGGAAAAAACACTGCATATTATTACAATTTACTCCAGCTTTTTTTTAAGTTGACATTATCTTGGACTCAGTACAGTTCATAAACAGTATTTAACAGACGTACAGCACTTCGTTGTTCTGCTGACACCGATTAGGAGGCGTGAAACTGAACCGCCGAAGAGGAAACCACCGCGGCTCTGACCATTTTTAAGGAGTTTGCGGATCTATACGTTAAAAAACGGAAACGCGTCGGGCTAGCAGCAGGAGCGTTTGAAGGCAGTTGTTTTAGCTTTAATGTTTACCTTATTCCAGTCCGAGAGCCTCTACAGATGTTTGTTCGATCATATATCCGCCGCCTTGGGGCGCAGGGACACACGGGTAGTGGCAGTTTTCCCAAAATGTCTCCTCCTGCTACTAAAAGCGGGCTTCAATCCGCCGTCAGATTCGCCTTTTGTCCGGCAGACAGACGCCATATTGACACAAAGACGCAAGGGCAGATGGGAGATGAAGTTCACAAAGTTCACCGCAGATAAAAAGCCAAACCCGTGAAGCGAATCCAGTTTCTGGATTTATTTATTTATTTATTTATTTATTTATTTATTTATTTATTTATTTATTTATTTATTTATTTATTATTGGTTTTCATCATTTAATGCAATGTTGAGGTATCTGCTTAAGATTACCCTACTGGTTTTCATGTTTTATTTTAGAGTAGTTCAAATAATTTGTATTTATTATAATAAATTGAAGCCCTAAACTTGGATAACTCTAAAAACTGTATTTTTAATATATCTTTATATGGTACAACACCTATTGTTAGGCTCCTCTAATTACATTTTCCATAAGTCAGGATATGAACCAATCAAGTTATGCTAATTTTTACATCTGCATTACAGAAACACACTGGTTTGGCTTCCTGCATGATAACTTACACGTTTACACAAACTGATGCCCGATCATCATTCTTATTTCAGAGATATGATGCCCTGTGAAGGATATTTGCTGTACAGGGGAAAATATGCACCAAACAATTAAAAAGTAACAATTAGACTAAAGAATTACCTATGGGAAGTGTCACCAAATCCTATAGACATTAATGCATAATAAGACCTGGATTTAGAGCAACAATCTAATTTCAATAACGAAATCAATATTTAAACTCAAAATTTAAAAAGGTTAGGACATTTCTTCAAATTTAAAATTCAAAAAAGAACTGAGCTGAATGGAAGCACCACTTGGTTTGTTTATTAAAAAACTGGGTTCTACAGTATAAAATGGTTTAATTACAACTAACAGGTACAAACAGCAGACAGATCAAACACACACACACACAGTTTGTTTCTCTATCATACATGCTCGTGCACACACACACACACACACACACACACACACACACACACACACACA